TTGTAAATCAATTCGTTCTTGATTGGTTCTTTTCCAGAAATTCTTGTTACTGATCCTTTCTGACCAGCCATTTGATCTTTATTATTGAACCAATGAAGTCAGCTGTCGGTGAAATTTCGCAGTGGCCTGTTAGAAATGCTCTTCATGACGCGGACACCGAGTCTCGGAGGCGAATAGAAGAAGTGACTGGATTAACACTGGTGTTAAAAATCAGAATTTCACACTGATGAAAGTGTGGCTTGCTTTTCAGACTCTGGTAAAGCCTTTGAATTCTCAAGACCTTGGCTTTAGATAATAAACGACCCCTCGGATACTTTTTGAATTACTCTTATATTCTCCTAATTTGCATACTACATTCATGATAATTTAGAAGACAACAGATTCACCTGAAGAATATATGGAACCTACAACCCAACAGAGGTTCAGAGGGAGACTATTAAGTGACATCACGTGTCACACAGGCCCTAGAAGGGAGATCGGGTGGGAAACGATGAGTTAGGCGTCATTTCGAGAACGACATGGAGGAGATTGCGTGAGTAGGAGATGAAAGCTTATAGGCAGTCATGGAACCAGCTAAAGAGGACACAAAGAAACGGGGATGAACTGGAGATGTGCTATTGAAGCTCTTTGCGTCCCACTTTCAACACAAAGAAATAATAATAAGCCCTGAAACCTACAAATTAAAACACTTTTTGTTGACCGAAATGTTTCATGATGAATATCGTAGCAGAAAATTATCTAAACATTGAACTAGTCAAACCAAAAACTATTATTATTGTTTCCTTTATTCCCTAGAGGAACATAGGGCTTCAGCTGCGCGTCCCCACTGAGTTCGGTTCTCCGCCGGCGTTTTCACCTGTCTCCACGTCTGCCCATATGCTTTCATCTCCTCTTTGTGTGACCTTCTCCATGTCACCATTGCACTGAAGACTAACTCCCAAGTAATGGTCTAGCGTGTGATGTCACTTGATGGTTTGTTTGCTAAGAGTATGGCCAATCCAACTCCAGTTCTTCCTGCATATTTGTTGCTCAATCGGTTCCTGCTGGGTTGGTTCGCTCATTGCCTCAGATCCCTGTTGCTGATGTCTTCTGGCCTGCGATCTGATCTTGAGTAGTATTGAGCGAAGACAGATGTTGATGAAGGTCTGCGGTTTGTTCGAAGTGCCATCCGTGACGCGCCAAATCCCTGATGTAAACTCAATCGTAACAGTGGTGCTTTTCCTGTAAAATATGTTTTATATAATCTTTGCAAAATAGAGAAAGCAATCGGCTTGACTATTCGAAGTTATGTGTCTTTCGCAAGATCTGGATATTTGTTCTGACCTGAATGTATTTTATTTATTTATTTTATTTTTTTATTTTTGGTTACAGCTTGATGCCACACCGTATTTTCAGTACAAGTATGGAATTTTCAGCACGGATATCGGTAGCCCAAATTTTGCAGACCGACCATAGATATCAGGTGTGCGTTGGTAGGAAATCGAACCCCGGACCATGTGCATGGTTGCCGAGAGTCCTAACCACTGTGCCACCGACGCACATAATGTAGTTCCATAAATAAACAAAAATGTGGTGAAGAAATACTCCAGAGAACATTTTTACATAATTTCCCCGTCTATTACACACAACTTGCCTGTTAGCTATTTTTAGGAACTCTGAGGAATTAATCTCAATACTTCCGTGGTATCCGTCGTATGCATGTTTTTGACTACATTGAAAAAATAAACACTTTTACTCTCCCAACATTTCATAAATAATCCCCATTCAGATATTAATGAAAACATATAAGTGTATTTTGCATACGCGTTGACATTCTTTACCTCCCAAAAGTAGTATTGCCGTTTTACCCACGTGGTTACTCAGATTTCAAGTGACTCAGCCATCTGAACTAAGTCAAATCGTGTACACAGCTGTTGAGTTCGGTTACAAGTGAGTGAAACTCCCTTTTAGCATTCAGACCGCTTCTATATGGCTAGCATGCACTACTGATTGGCGTGAATGGTTTCTGTCTATTCATATCAGTTAGTAACATATGCAATAATTCAATCTAAAGGAATTAATTTTCTGTACGATATTATGAATAACCATTAAAGACTATATGGGGATGGAATCTTCTTTGAAATTCTATAAAAATTCTTGATCGTACAACATCAAGTCTTTTTAAGGATTAGTTTATAGGGATTCTACTTGTTTCAGGACAGGTCACGGATTGATATCAGTTACAGCAGCACTGAAAACCAGCAGGGAGAACTGGACAGCTGTTCGGTCCTAGTTTGGGATTCGTTGGTAGTACGCACTCACTGGGTTTCGAGCCCAGGACCTTCCGGTTACAAGGCGAGGCACTGGGACCCGTATCAGAGGCCAGGCCATGAATTCTAACTTTTATCAATTCTTGGCTTTAGCGTGACCACCAACTATTGTCATCAGCGTGAACTCCATCCTCATTCCGGACTGGATAAGCCCCACTGGTCACGACTTCTTACTAGGACTCCAGGCAACTTCGTCCTGTAGCCGTCACTAGCAGGCATCAGATTACTTTCAAGAAGGTCTTTGGGTTCGAAACCCAGTGGGTGTATACTGAAAATGAGTCCCAAACTACGATGGAACAGCTGTCCGGTACTCTCTGATCCCCAATGGTTCTTTAACTGATATCAATCCGCAGTCTAAGCTGAAACATCAAGTCTGTAGTAAAGAGACGTCATGCATTCTCCTACTTAATCGGTTTCTCGTAGCAATGCCACATTGGGATTAAAACATTTTTCAGATAAATCGAAGTTTCTCGAACTAATGGATTAATTTGTCAGATATTTCTTCTCACTAAGATGTTAAAAATTTAAGTTTTAATCTAAGAAGTGGGGCATACAGGATTAAAACTATTCATCTTCTAATGGACAGCACTTTAGTGCTTTGAAACGATAGGGGCACTATTACTCAATGAGGATGAAGCTACACCAAGTTAGCTTGTGCCAAATAGGCTGAAATGTGCATCCCGGATTCCACCGCTAATCCATACCAGGAGCCATCAAGTCAACGGAAAGACTGAGAATTTCGGTCAAACATGATTAATCAACGGGAAAATGCACGATTAACCTAAAAACAAGTAACACCTTGATTTATCGCGAACCAACCAACATCACTGAAAACCGGTCAGAAACACTGAATAGCTGCTTCATCCTACACTGAGATTTCTCAACTTAGCTCACCCATGATCTCACCACCAGAGGTCGAACTCTAACACATTCAGGTTACGAGACTATGCTTATTGACGACCAGCCAGTCACTTAGGGTGGAATTCAGTGATCTGTGTATCCCATCTTTGTAAACTTGTGATACAGTGTTGCCCTCATCAGTGTCTTTGACAAGCATCAACTTCATCTTGACATAATGGACCCCAGTGGTCACAGTTTCCCACTGCACAGTTTCAGGAAATTCATCCAGTAGCCATCGGTGAGCTGGTGATTGATATTCAGGCTATAGAATTTGCATGTATTTGGGATTAATTTTACTTGTTAGATCCTCGTCACGAACTAGTCAACATCAGTTGAAGAGATGGTTGGAAACCAGTCAGCAGCATTGCACAGTCATCTAGCCCCACTTAGGGATTCCTCAACAGTACAAAAACACACACACGATCGCAACAGAGACCAAACCAGATGGATTTCCTGAAGGTGTTCAGTGGGAAGTCGTCACTAATGGGATCCTTTGCGTCAAGATGGAGAGGATGCTCATCAGAGGCACTGCTGAGAATAGGACTGTACCACTAGTTGACAAAGTTAGAATTCACAGATCATTGAGTTCTCATAAAGGTGGTTGAATGGTCGTCAACGTGTTTGGTCTCATAAGCTGAAAATGCTGTTGTTTGATCTCTTGTGTGTTGGGGGTGGGTGGGAGGCTGCAGATGTGCACTGCTGAACAATCCCTAAAACTAGGACGATACAGCTGTCTAATGCTCCCAGCTGGTTTTCAATGATCTCTCCAACCCATGTTGATTGGTTCGTGTCGAATATCTAACCAGTTGAAAATAATGTTGTTATAAAGAAACAGTAATTCCTTTCAATAGATAATTTCTAATTAATTCTTCTACACTCTCCCTCTTAATAGTATTTAGTAAAAAATAATGAATTTAGCTTATTATCCAATCATATTTACAAGCAAAGTTAATTTATCTCTATTGTCTGTCTCCATACATATTTACACACTACACACACCATACTAACACTATCAAGTAACTTTTAATTGGCTGAAATCAACCAAATGGCTGTTCTTTTCTCTCTATATTATCAAACTTCAATGACAGTCAATTAGGCTAGGCTTTTTCTAGTGAAAAATAAGTGTGTGACGTGTATGAAAATAAATGAAAATAAATCTGCTTAACAGATGTGCGTGTGTATGTGTGCCATGCCTTATCCTACTGTATGTGTGTGTGTACAGCAGCATTTGACTGACTGCTGAGTCGCAAAGACATAAGTTAGGCAGGTAGGTTGGTGGTAGGTAGATAGGAGATAGTGGATAGGCGCAGTCATCATTCCCTTCTCCATCTTTCTTTCTTACCTCCCTCACCTACAAATAAAAGGCAAATAAACAAATTTTCATTATCTCTCTATGTGTGACCAGCCTATAATTATTCTGAGAGGAAGCAAAACAAAAAAATAATACCCCCTTCATCATACACTGGAGAAATTCATCTACTGTGTAGAAGGAAAGAGGAGAATAGTATCAATCAAAATTGCCACACCACCACCACCACCAAACATCTTCATTACACCCTTATTTCTATCATCATCAAAACCCGGAGAGCAGAAATTAATTCCATTCCCATTTTTATATCGTATAATGCGGTGGGGTGTTGAGAAAGAAGCTCACGCCAATACCAACAATGATTGAGCACTTATTTATCTCCGACAGAATGCACATTAAAACAACAGTCGCTAATTTACAACTGGAAGATTTCGATTGAAATTATTGCGAAAAATTAACAATATATATTATTATCCAGTAATTAATAAGTAATATATATCGTATCTATTTATATAAAAGTGGAACTCGTAACACAACACCTGATGAATTATGAATGAGGAATTAGATAACAACGACAATAATAATAACAATAATGTATCTACAAACAGTAATGATTTCTTAAATACTGCAGCGGAATCCGATAATCTCTGGAAGAATTCTATTGGAAGTAATACAAATCCCCTAACATCTGGAACAACTGTACCGGTATCATCCCCGTGCTCTTCCTCGTCCGCCGCTTTTGCTAATTCTTCAGAGAGTAAATCTACCAATCCTATAACAAACATAGATATGGTTAGTATATTTACTGAAATGAATAAATCTATGATGAATAATACACCGCATGAAACCGACACCAAGGAGTCCCTATATTCTATGTTTGAAAAAGTTATGAAACAATCGGATAATTCAAATTATTATTCCGCATGGCAAACATTTTTAACACATCTGATGCATAATAAATCATCTACTGACAAAGAAACTAAAAGTAATCTAGAAGAATTCATAAAGGATTATACTCTGTCGACAACGTCTTCCTCTTCCTTGTCTACCAATTCTAATGTACATATGAATTCAAATACTACGGCATATTCTAATGTTACTGGTCCCACACCTGTTCTAGGTAGTGATAATTCGACACCGACTAAACGTAAAACAGCCTATGGAATACGTGATATTCTTGGAGATAATCATAAAGACGATGAAATTAATAATGCCAGTCAATTAAGTGATGATAAAACAAGTAAAATGAGACATGTACAAAATACATCCTCAGATAATGATGATGAATTGGATTATAATAAATTGAGTAAAATGTACTCCACATGGTTTACAACATTGAACTCTTTAACAAATATATCTGATCGGGATGGTATGCATCAATCCGCGTGTCAAAATAACGCCTTACTTGAAGCATTTACAATGTTATCATCAAGTGTAAATCCAAGAAACTTGTTAAATCTTTCACAGATGAATCATAACATGACTAGTTCTTCGTATGATCAGCCACCGCTTTCATTACAATCAAATCGAAATCTGAATCCGTATCCTCTCGACTATGGTGTTCATTCGAATGAAAATGCTAAAATTCAAGAACAACAGAGTCAACACTATAAAATGAAATCGAATCACAACCGGTTAGATACAAATTTATCGAAACAAATGCCACCCTTAACAAATGAACAACAACTATCTCATATGATAAATTCTTCCCAGACAAAATCATCATCACCATCATGTTTAGCGAAAAAAGATGAAGAGAAACCTGCATTCTTAGAATTTCTAAGTAAACGTTATTCATCAGTCGACTGTGAAAATCTTTTCAGTATGGCTGCAGCTACTGCGGCCGTTGCCGCCGCAGCCTCTTTAACAAATATTCGTCCTCCAATGACAACGCCGCCGACAATGATGATGATGAATCTACATCAGTATTCACCAAATCTATATGATCCGCTAAATTTATTTCAAAGCCATAATAATAATAATAGCACACCTTTGAATACACTGAATGATAACAGTAATAACGGGAGCCATCATTCAATGCAAAATGCTCTGAATCCTTCATTATGTTCAAATTCAAATAATAATTTTCATATTCCTATTGGTTTACCAACTGGACATATAAATAATACAGTCACTTCTACATCTGGACATCAACGCCTATCATCACCGTCTTCCTTATCCCCGACGACATCTACAAATGTCAGTACAGGAAATGGAGTAAATCCGTCTAATCCATGGATGAAAGCAAATGGTAAGTAATCTTCAAGGTTCTTTCTGTCTTTGACACTTTTTACAAAGAGTTATTCGTTAGTATTTGTAAGTGTTGTAGAAGTACATTTAAAGAAATTTTTAACGAATTCATATAGCACTGAAATGTTCAATCTCTGTTGAAATGTCAGCTTTTTGTATGGACGCTTCAATAGTGTCTTTTCCCTAACTAGCAGTAGTCTCTTGAATGCATATTTCGTCGTCTCTGAGATTCGTTAAGTGCATGTAGATGCATCGCTAGCGAGTGTGCATTTCCACTCTGATGAAATGAACTTTGTTAAGTATGCTGACGATCTAACTATTTCAATATCTATGAACTCCCAGCTTGACTGCACTAAGATAAACAACCTTCTATCAGAAATTAGCAAATGGTCTTCGTCTAACGGCCTTAAACTTAATCCTTCCAAATGTCAGACTGTTAATTTCAGTTTCTGATGTAAACGAATGTTAAATGAAGCCGCTGGTTCCTATGACCCTTGCAAAATTGATGCTACTGATATAGAAACCAAGTCTGAAGTTAAGTATCTTGGATTAATTCTCTCTTCTGACCTATCCTGGTCCTCCCATGTCTTAGCGATTTCTCAAAGAATATTTCGTCTCACTTTTTACATTAAGAAGTTAAGGCACTCAAGCATAACCCAACCTCTACTCCTGCAGTTCGTCAACTCGTGTATTTCGCCTATTCTTCTTTACTGTTCACCCTTATTCTTTCATGGATTGCTTAAAAAGGACTATGTCATACTTCGTAGAACTCTGAAGACTGTCAGTAGGACGAGTGGTATCCCATTAGACCATATCGTTGACATTGTCACTGATAGGCACTTAATGTCATGCAACAAATTCGCTAAAGGAATATTGTCAGACTCTGAGCACCCACTCTACCCGCAGCTCCAACCTTGTGTCTCCTCAGGTAAAACAAGAAGTCTTTTTAGAAGAATTTATGCACGTACGTCTAAGTATAAAAATTCCACTATACTATATCTAGCACGTACTTTATGTGATGAAAATAGTGTCAGGCATGAACTAACTAACCTTCTTAGCACCACTAAATAAACCATTTCCTCCACCCTTGCAACATCAACCTTTATTGTTACTGTTCCTCTCATATTTATAATCCTCTCAAGTTTTTGTTTTTATTTCTTTATTTTTTTCATAAGTGTGAACATAATTTAAGCTGTGTTATAACTGTTATAATTGTGTATTTCCCCTCACCATACTATATCAACAGAACATTAGACCCAATAATCTATAACATGCTAAAGTTCCCAAACTGAATCGACAATACCGTTTGAAACAAACTCACTGTTATTGTTATTATTATTATATTTAATAATCTCAATTCATGCTTCGAATATTTTTGACTTTATGTCGTAAATGTGGACAAATTCCTCCGATTAATTTTGTTTTAATTTTGAATTTTATTTATATTTTGAGTAAATCAGATGCAATATTGTGACAAATACTGAGAATTCCATTCTGTATTATAAGTACTGTTTTTGGAATTAAGTAGATTATTATTATTATTAGCAGAAAGCACCTTGTCGTCTGAAATGATGGGTCCCGAACTCCTGTCTCAGTAGGAATACTATCACTCACTGGGGATGAAGGTACATCCAACTGATAAGTCCCAAATAGGAGGAAAAGTGCGTCTTGAACCCCATTGCTAATTACTACTGATCAAACAACATACTGTCAAGTGATTTTAATGCTATACTGCTTAGTAAATAACTCAGAGAATAGTAAAAACATATGACCACAAAGGTTTCTTTTTCACGCTTGAAATTTATACTTTATGTTCATCATGACATTACTTTCTCTAATGTGTTTTCCCTAATTCAGAGTGATACTATTTTTGGTTAGTTTTCAGATATTTGACCTGCTTCAAGTTTGAGCAAAGATTGGTGGTATCATTTAGAAGACTAGAGAGTACTGGATAGCTGTTCCGGGATTCGAATCCAGGACCTTCCAGTCATGATTATCACTCAGCTAGACTATCACAAGGGTACATCATCAAATAGTCACCTTAGCTTGTCTAGTGTGAAACCATTTCACCCTTAATCACCTACTACCAATGAATATTTGATTTACCCAATCAATTATCTAGAATGTATGACTTAATCGTCTTTGACTTGTTACTTTCAACAGTTAAAGAGAAATTATAAACCTTCTCATTTAATAGGCTTGACAGTTCATACTCAGGAGTTACTCACTTAGTCATTTTGAAGTACGATTCATCTTCAGGTACTCGTGTATGGGGAGATTCAAATTTCTCGACAAATATACACATACATAACCTTTCATAAAATGTTATGTGTAAACTGTTAAGATTAATATATATCATTTAATAATGTTCCCTAGGGTTCTGAGTAGAATATAAGGCTTCAACAGAACCTTTCCATTTTCTCTGGTTCTATGCAGTTTGCCCCGAGATTTCCCATTAGTTTTCATTCCCTCTTTACACGATCTCCTCCATGTCACCCCCGAAACAACGCCCAATTCATCATTCCTCATCCAGGTTCTAATCCAGAGAAGCATATAGAAGCAGTGACTGTCTTAACACTGGAGTTGAAAATGTGGATCTTGTAGTTTGTGCTGAGTGCAGGAGGTTTCCACATTGGTTTCAGAGTGATGAATGTGTGCCTTTCATTTCCAATTTTGCATGTAGCTGAAACGACGGTGACTAGATAAGTGAATGAGGTAACCTCGTCATCATCTCCACCTTATTTATGTTCACTTAAATCCATGCCTTGCTGCCAGCCTCTTCTGCCAAACTTTTAGTTTTCTCCTGTAAGTCTTAGAGTTTATGTTACATTAGGAATAAACCGACACTGAAGTCCAGATACTCTGGAGTCTTCTTGTAAGTTCAGCGCATTCCTGTCGTATCCTCGCTCCCCACAGTCTCCTGCATGATCCAGTCCACCACAACTGGAGAAGTCATCAGTGATAGTAGGCGCTCTTGTCGTACTCCTGTATTCACTTCAGTCGTTTCACTGAGTTTTCCTCTATGGATCACTTGACATGTGACACTGTCATACAGCTGTTGAATGAAGTTGATAAAGATTTGGAGCACGGCATTGCATAGTGTTGAAGTAATTTCCAAATTAGGTTCACTTTTAACGGTTTGAAAAAAATGGACATCGGGTGCATGATATTCATTATCATAAAAGTTTTTATATTTCCCAAAGAATGAAAAACAAAACGATATTGTTTCTACTGACGTTTCGCTGCATAACATGTCGTTTTGTTTTTCATTCATTGGGAAATACAAAACTTTTATAGTTTGCTAATTACTTCACGGTCTACGATGTCACAAGCTTTTCAATGTCAATGAAATAGAGATAGAGATTGGACAGCCATTCTTTGCTCTGTTCAGTGATGATGTGTAGAGTTGAGAATTGATCAGTACATGATTTGCTTTTCCTGAATCCAGCTTGTTCCAGTCGGGGTTCTGCATCCAGTGCATCTTTTAGTCTCTCCAGGATGACGCGACTTAATACTCTGGTTGGTGTGGACAAGAAAATGATTCCGCTCCAGTTCTTCCAGAGTCCTAGCGTTAAGATATGTTAAATTAATGCAGATCCAAATATAAATTGCTGTTTTTTTACGCAGAAGTACGCTGATGATAAATGCCTAAGCTTGAACGAAAAAGCCGTGTAGTTTTCTTTGTTGTTCAATATCTGTCTAACTGGGTCTGGAATCATCCAAAGAGAGAAACCCCAATGCCTGAAAAGACTAACATAAAGCAGCAATGTGTGTCATGCGAACGGAATATTCATGCTTCAAAAGTGCTATTAAGTGAATTATCCTCGGAAGTAACACCCTAAATAAAAAAGCAAACTGGGCTTTATTTATTTATGTTTCTTCTACCTTATTCTCCCTGCCAATATATGCAGTAGTCAACTCCACAACTTCAAGGAGGGTAGAAAACTACTACCCTAATATTCAGTTGACCTAGACATACCAACAGATTGGTAAGACTTAATTTCAACTGTTGTCTAAGAGATTTCTATGTAAAAACAACATGTACTACATCATATGCTTATCCTCCTTTATGAATTTGAATAAAGCAAATTCAACGGTTTGTTCAGGATAATATCATACCATCATTTGCTTCATCGGCTTCTCATCAGCTGCGTACAACCTCGAAAATTACTCAAGTAAGGAGAAATTTTAAGGTATCTGCAAAGGTGACAGTAATTTCAATTAATAAAAGACTCCAAAATTTAAATAAACAATGCTCAGAAATTATACTGATATACAGCTTAGACACAGAAGACTCAAGCTAAAACATAACAAAGTCAAAGAGAAATGTTTGAATACAGTGGAAAAGGAGTTGCGTAATAAAGAAAAGAGGGCAGATAAGATGATAAGTGACTAATAAGTTTCTTAACAATGTAGTGAGTTCGCTTCGAATCAGTATTGAAAAAAAGACATTTCACTATAGCGAGAGGGAAAAGGTTCAAGGTAAGAGGTTAGGCAATCGAGTAAAGGGGAGACTTTTACTCGATTACGCAGACTTGAACAAGGAAAGATGGATGGTTACATCTTTCTGAATACATAAATCGTATCCACCTCCATTATATCCAAACATTTATCTTTTCCGACTTTGTTTTGCCTAATGTCGAGTCTTGCGTACATAAGCTACATTGGAATAATTCTCGAGTGCTGTTCCTATGAGTTTTGGAGTCGCGTGTCAGGCGACATCACTGTCACCTTTGCAAATACCTGAAAATTTCTCCTCACTTGACTTATGTTCTAGGTTGTACACAGATGACAAGAAGCCGACAAAATAAACGATATTACCGTCCTATTTTAGACAAACCGTTGATTTTGTTTTATTCAAAGCGTACTACAGGTGACATGATCACCCGGTTACAAGTCGTATATTGTAGCTCTTTTAGTAAGGCCCTGAACTAGTAATTCCAAGATTGATGATTCTGGTCCTACTGCGACGCAGATTTTCATTTTGCCTTGAATCACTGA